TGAACTAAAGGCCAAAAGTACTCAATATCTTCGAGCCGTATCTGAGAAAGAGTCTTTGCGTATGGAGATCAACAAGGCTGAGGACGAGTTGAAAGAAATCTCTTCCGAAGTCATGATTGAAGACTCTTTGATGGTTAATTTGGCTGCTCAGATGAAGGAACTTCAAGCCAAAATGGACAACTGCAGGGAGAGAATGGCTGCTAAAAAGCGTAACGTCTCCCAAGGAATTGAGCAAACTAAGTCCTTGGTCGAGCAGTACAAGAAGTTGGAAGTTGATGATGATGTCGCGGCCGAATTGAACATCACTTCCTCTCGGCAGAACGAGGATTGGGAAAAACTTAGGGAACGAATTCGTTCAGTGTGGGGTGGACTGTAATTAAGACATATGATGCCTTTTTCTTTTATAATTTGATTTTCCCTTTGTAACTTTGTTCATCATTAATGGACATATATATTAACTTCTTGTGCATTTATTTCACGTTTGTTTTTTAGTCGTCAATTATTCAAGCATTTAATTGCTTTGTGCTAAAAATCTTGCCCATTTTCTTTTGATATTTCCACCACTTTTCCTAAGACTTTGGGCTATTTAATTCCATTTACTAGACAGAATGTGGCTGCTCATATTCTGTCTCTTCATCTCCACCCCCTATAAATGCACGGATGCTTTGCATTTTCCATCTTCCATCTTCATTTTCTTCTTCTAAACTAATTTGCCGTCATTGTTTGGCACTCTGACAAACAATCCGATCCGAAACCTTCATCTTTCTATAAAAATGGATTGTTTAGTTCGCCCATTTTACTATTTGCCTTGATGTCACCTTTGGTGTGGGAGGTATAGGAAATATTTTTTGGCCAGCAGCAAAGTTTTTACCATCGAAGTTCTTTCCATCGTATCTTTGTCCTTTACAAGGAGTCGATGATAGAAGGCAATTTTTGGGATGCTTACGGGCCACATTGCTTGCTGAGAGTGCTTCTCAGTTTGCTTGCTGAGAGTGCTTCTCAATCTCTTTGCTCGCCATTGCAGCGATGCATTTAGGAAGGTGGTGAG